AATAAAATAGATTAAACTGAAATATAGACAAGTCACTGCTTCACCTGGAAGAAGGGTGAGGACCTTGGATAGAAGGGAACTTGCATGGGAACGGGGTGGAGGTGAGTGTTGTGGGTAGTTGAAGAGCAATACAGGGTATCACAGAGGGAACAATCCCTTCAGAATGTTGGAAGGAGAAAGGGGAAGATGTGTTTGGTAGTGGCATCATGCTGGAGGTTGCAGGAAAATAGTCCTTTGAAATATAGAGGCTGGTGGGATGGAAGGTGAGGACAGGGTGATCCCCATGGTTCTGAAACAGAAAGGGTAAAAGCAGAAATACAGGAAATACACACTGGAGACGCCCATCATCCAAGGTGGAGAAGAATCCTCCAGAGGGAAAAAATCTATTGGATAAGTACACGAATAGGAAAGATTTGGAGGGATATGGAATAGGATCAAACAGGTAGGCCTAGTTTAGTGTGATTATGTTCAGCATGGACTAGCTGGATCAAAGGGCGTGTGTCCGTGCTGTATGACTCGAAGTGCTGATGTGGAACAATGGGTCATGGGGCACAGAGGACACGGAGCTACAGGAACTGGAAGAATGTAATGGAACCCTTACAGGATGTGGGTGAGAAGAAGTGTTATCAAGGTGACTGTGGAAGTCATTGGACATATAATGAGTATTAGTTGATAGGCTGTTACTAGAAATGGAGACAGAGAAGTTGAGGAAGGGAAGAGCAGAAGGTGGACCAGAAGACCTAAGGAAAGGTTGCAAATTGGAAGCAAAACTGAGGTTTTCCAATTCAGGGCAAAAACAGAACAAGGTATGGAAAGTGAAATTGAAATTTTTCAGTTGCGAACAAGTTCAGCCAGGTAGAGGAGGGTGGTAGTGGATGGAGACCATTTGAACTTTGAATATGAACAGAATTCCCACAGTGTGGAAACAGTCCACACTGATCCTCTGAAGAACATCCCACCCAGACCATCCCTCTACCCTGTAACCCTGCATTTCCTATGGCTAACGCACCTAACCTACACATCCCTGAACACCATGGGCAATTTAGCATAGCCAATCCACCTATCCTACACACCTTTGGACTGTGGGAGGAAATGGAAGCAAACCCATGCAGACATGGGGAGAATGTGCAAACTCCACACACAGTCGCCTGACGTTGGAATTGAACCCAGGTCCCTGGCGCTGTGAGGCAGCAATGCTAACCACTGAGCCGTCCCCTAGAAGAAGCTCTCAGACCACCCTTCTGCTTTATTATTTCCAGAAATCTGGACTTGGTGGCAAGGTCAGCATCCGTTGCTCAATCCTAATTGCCTTTAAACTGAGTGGCACACTAGGCTATTTCAGAGAGCAGTCAAGAATCAATGTTGTCACTCTGGTTCTGGAGTCATGTGTAGGCTAGATTGGGTAAAGACAGGGACATGGTCCGGGGGTGGTTACAAAAGCTGGCTTTCTGCACTCACTTGGGACAAGTGTAGATTAATTTTGTCCTGGATTATTGTTTCTATTGAGCTTCCCTATTGTTGATGTTAAACTGACTGGCTTGTAGTTGCTGGGCTTGTCCTTTATTCTGTTTTTTGAGCAAGTTTGTGGCATTTACAATTCTCTGGTGCAGCCGGTACAAACCTGTGGATAAATCCAATCCCAGTAATATCACTTTATAAATTCTGTCCCATTCAGTATCACAGCTCCTTCCTCTTCAACACAAACCGGCTCTGTCTCTAGTTAATTACCAGTTTACTGCTAGTTACTAGTTTGCAGCTAGTTGCAGGTTTACTGGAAGCTCCATCACTCACCCAGCGCCTGGCCACAAGCCTCTCTATGCCCCGCTCTCCAGTCCAGGCTCTGATGCTCCTTCCCGCAGTAATGGGCCCAGCGGCAGCGTGAGCAGCTCTTGGGCCCCGAGGCTCCGCAGACGCGGCAGAGACGGAGGCCGGGCCTAGGCCGCGGCTCAGCCTCGGCCTCGGGTTCGGGCTCTGGAGGGTAAAACTCATTGATGCGGCCGAGCTGGCTCCGGAAAACGGCGAAGCGGCGGCGCGGACAGGACGGGAGCGCGCAGCAGAAGAGGAGGAGCGCGCGGTGGAAGGCGCGGTCCCGCGGCGCGTACACCTGCAGCAGGAAGACCATCGGCCGCGCGCAGCCGCCGCACCGCAGCCGCTCGGGCCCTGGGAGCTGCAAGCTCAGCCATGCCGGCCGCCCCCCGACTTTACTGGGGAACTGCGAGCTCAGCAACCGCGCCGGGGCCGCCGGCTCCACGAAGCCCAGCTCAACCGGAGCCGAGGCTTCACCATCTGGCGCCATCGCTAAGCCCGGCGCCTCCAAACTGCGTCATTTCAGGAAACGTGTCCGTCCTCCAGAAGATTCCCCCAGAAACAGATTGGGAGAACATGGGGTCCGGGGGGTGGGAGATTATCCTCCAGGCACTGGCTCTGTCTCACATTGGATGTGGAGTCTAGTTCTGGAGAAACTCCCTTCGAGCTACTGGAAAATTATTATACCAAAAGCTGTTTCCTCGTATTGAGCGTTTCCTTCCGAGCTCACAAGTAGGCAGCCTGACATTCCCTGTCTTTGTTGAACTGTGTCTGTAAAATCTTCCATACTGTCCTGTTTTGACACCACCATCTGGATAACTTGTTATGATCGCAGTACCTTAATAAGTTTGTACAGTTTTGGATTACTTTCATTAGACCCTTGGCATGTGACTCTTATACCTAACATGTGATTCCAGCCAAAAGAACTGTGGAACAAAAACAGAAGTTGCTGGAAAAGCTCAGCAGGTCTGGCAGCACCTGTGAAGGAATAAACAGAGTTAACGTTTCAGGTCCAGTGACCCTTCCTCAGAACCTGATCCAAAACGTTAACTCTGTTTTCTCCTCCACAGATGCTGCCAGACTTGCTGAGCTTTTCCAGCAATTTCTGTTTTTGTTCCTGATTTACAGTGTCCACAGTTCTTTTGGTTTTTAAGAAAAGAGTTAGGCCTGTTTTGTCTAGAATTTAGAAGGTTAAAGGAGTAATCTGACTGAAATCTTCAAAAAATGAATAGGATTAAGGAGAATTCCCAGGCTTTTCATACATAAAAATAGTAGATGGAGGTCAAATACAAAAGGAAATTATCCAGTGAATGCAAGAACCCTGAGGAGGATTGATATGCAGAGGGATCTGGGTGTGCAGGTCCACAGATCACTGAAGGTGGCAGCGCAGCTAGATAAGGTAGTCAAAAGAAAGGTCCATGGCATACTTGCCTTCATTGGAGGGAGCATTAAATAGAAGGATAGACAGGGTACGTTGCAGCTTTATAGGACTTTAGTTAGGCCACACTTGGAATATTGCAAACAGTTTTGGTCACCACACTACCAGAAGGATGTGTACGCGCTGGAGAGGGTACCGAAAAGGTTTAACACGATGTTGCCTAGTATGGGGGATTCTAGCTATGAAGAACGGTTGGATAGACTGGGTTTGTTTTCACTGGAACATTGGAGATTAAATGGGGGTGACCTGATAAAGGTTTATAAGATTGTGAGTGGCATGAGGGATCAATTACTCAGGACACAGGTTCAAGATGTTGAGGGGAGGGGGGGTTAAAAGAGATGTGCAAGACAAGTTATTCTTACAAGGGTGGCAAGTGCCTGGAACAGGCTGCCAGAGGTGGTATTGGAAGCAGGATTCATGAAGCACCTGGACAAACCTGAGTAGGAAGGGAATCAAGGGATATGGTGCCTCCAAGTAAAGACAGTTTAGTCTGGAAGGGTGGCACAGGGGCTCAGTGGTTAGCACTTCTTCCTCACCGTGCCAGGGACCTGGGTTCAATTCCAGCCTCGGGTGACTGTCTGTGGGAAGTTTGCACATTGTCCCCATGTCTGCGTGGGTTTCCTCCGGGTGCTCCAGTTTCCTCCCACAGTCCAAAGATGTGCAGGGTAGGTGGATTGGCTATGCTAAATTGCCCACAATGCCCAGGGATGTTTAGGTTAGGTGTGTTAGTCATAGGAAATGCAGGGATAGGGGAACGGATCTGGTTGGGATGCTCTTTGGAGGGGCAGTGTGGACCTGTTGAGCCAAATAGCCTGTTTCCACACTGTAGGGATTCTATGAAAATGTGTCAGTGCAGGTTGAGAGCCAAAGGGCCTGTTCCTGTGCTGCATTGTTCTTTGAAAAGAGAAGATGAACGAGTTCCTGTGCTGGGGGTTCTAGGGCTAGGGGGCATCATCTGAGAATTAGGGCCAGACCATTTAGGAAAGATGTTAGGATGCACTTCTACACACAAAGAGTGGTAAATGTTTAAAACACTCTTCCACGAACAGCAGACAGTCACGGACCAATTGTCAACTTTAAACTTGAGCTGCATAAAGTTTTGTTAAGCAAAGGTATTAAGGACTATGGCAGATATATGGAGTTAAGCCACAGATCAGCCACGATCTCACTGAATGGTGGAACAGGCTCAAGGAGATGAACAGCCTACATCTGTTCCTGTGAGACAATCTAGACACTACACCTGATGCAGGAAAAACATTCCTGATGATGGGCAAGTCCAAACCATGGGGTTACAATCTAAGGATGCAGTGCAAACCATTTAGGACTGAGATGAGGAGAAATCTTTTGACTCAGAGTGCAGCACCTATGGAACTCACTACCACAGAAAGCAGTGAAGGCCAAAACAGTGTATGATTTCAAGGAGGAGTTTAATTAGCACCTGAGGCTAATAGGATCAAAAGGACATGGGGTAAAACAGGGACAGGCTGTTGAGTCTGATGATCAGCCATGATCATAACGAATAGCAGAGTAGGCTTGAGGGGCCAAATGGTTTACTCCTGCTCCTACGTTCTATGTTGCTAACTTGCTGTTGCTACCTGTCCTCTAACAGGGGAAAAAATAGTTAAAGGAAAATTCTGTGTGGAAATCGCCAAACACGCTATGATCACCTCACAAGGCAGGTTATTTTGCATAAAAGAAAACTCAGATCCCCACAAGAATGCAGCCTCATTGTTTGCAAACAAAAAAAGGAACACAATCACAAATATAAATTCATTTACTGAGCAGGCACAACATAAGAAGCAAGGCCATATATTTACAGCAAGTTCACAAATCTCAGACTGTCCAAAGTGCTTTACAAATCAATTAGGTACTTTTGACAAGCAGTCACTGTTGTAAATGTACAAAACAGCAATGTGATAGTGACCAGATTATCTACAATGACAAGAGAGAACCCTACAAGTGTAAAAAGGTTACAAATATGAAGCCCTATAGAAAAAAGTCCAATGAACGTTCCAAGAGGTGCACTCATGATAGTGCATATAGTTATAAAAAAAACTGACAAAACCATAGATAACGGTTACCAGTGCAATTGAGCCATTTGTGCAAAATAACATTGAGTTTACAGAAATTCATGTGCTACCGACCATATATATACACTAATGAAACTCTCAATAGTACACATTGCACAACTGACAGTAATCAGAACAGTCAATAATCAGTTTAGAAAATAACTGCAACACAAGGGAATAAATTCCCCAAGTCCGAAATGGGCCTCTGTGCTCCTGTTGCCATGTCGCGATGCGAAGACAAAACACCAATACTATCACTGGGTCTACTCTACAAATCAGCAAAACAATTCCCGTGTTTGCTAGTTATGGGTTTCCCATGAATCAGCCCTCATATACAGACTCCAATTAGGGCCCGTCACTGAGCCCAAAACAGACCTGAATAAATAAACTATTCTACTGGCCCACACTCTATTCAACAGGAAGCTGTTCAGACTCAGAGTGAGCGTGATGAATAACATCTCATGTATTCAGAAAGCCAGGGATTTTCTGCTCCAACGGGCTTCAACACTTGAACTTTCAAGTGATCAGACAGTGATTTATGTCCTAGGGAAGATTTACACTGCCCATCATGTAAGTGGGTGGTCGACGTCACTTTACCACGCGGTCGTCTCTGAGGTGTACGCATTGCTTTCTGTACCTGACGTCTGTCATGAGCACGTACTGCAGATTCATAGATCTGTCAGAGAGAGAGAGCGTTCACTGTGGAAAAAGACTGCATTGTTTACATACAAAGTAGGATCAACAATAACAATGATAACAGTTTAATTTAACCAAAAACGTTCATAGTGTGCAGTTTACAATGTAGATTAAATATCTTTCCAATCATAACCTTAGTCCCCGTTAGCTCAGACAGTAGCTGTTGGCAAAGATTCTCTTATTCCCATTGACACTTCTTCTAAATAAACAATATAAAAATGGGTCTCGAGTCAGAGTTGTGACAGCATGGAAAAGGGAACTTCAGTCCAACACACCCACATCAGTTATCAAACAGCTGTCTACTCTAAGCCCATTTTCCACTATGGCATTTCAAGCAATCATCTAAATATTTCTTGTGTCTGGAAGGTTCCTGCCTCTTTAGGCAGAGTTCCAGATACCCAGTTTTTCTTCAAATTCCCCACCCCACCCCCCTCAAACTCCTGCTCTTGATTGTAAAACTATACCTCTGGTTACTGACCTCCCCCGCACTCCCCTATACCAAGGGGAAATGTTCCTTGTATCTATCGCTGATTTGCGAGCAAAACACCAAGGTTTCTCTGATCCTCTGTACTTCCTATGGTCCCACCATTCAATGTGTACCCTCTTGCCTTGTTTGTTGTCTAAAAATGCATCTCCTCACATTTTTTCAGAATTTAATTCTAGGTGCAACTGTTAAAACAAAGAACAGTACAGCAACAGGAATTTCTGCCCATCTACACTGTCCTGTAGTCTAAGGCTTTCTTCTGCTATTTGCCAAATTACCATTTTGTATACCCTTTCCTGCCTCCACCCAAACAACTCCACTTTCCAGTTCGCACCCCATTAGACTCCTCCGTAGCCCTTGGGATGTCATTACAAGCTTTCGACTCCAGCAGCTCAGTACCACCTCCTCTCGGGCAATTACCGATGGTTCACAAATGCTGGCCCAGCCAACAACACCCATATCCCATGGATGCTGAAAAGAAAATATCAAAACCTGTCTCACTCGGCCGTGTGTATTCAGTAACACAGGTCCCACTGCTCTCTACAGGGGAGGTGCACTGCTATTCAGAAGTTGGAAAATCCTTCTCATTAAATGGGAGCTCCCTTTCTTTATCTGTGAGTGTCGTGTCTGTAGTATTTTCTCTGGGTATAGATCCGGTCTGTATACCTGTCCTTTCAAAGCAGATGCACTGACGTTGT